GTGCTTGCAGGGCACTCTGTGTCCCGTAGCTGCAGCATCTACAGCTTACTGTGGCTCCTGTGACCTCGATCCATCTACGACTGCCTGCACATGGGTCCTGTCTGCACACACACACCCTGACGCACCCTCCACTACATACTCACCTTCCAGCAACACCACTCATGAAACTCTCACATGGGGCCTGTCTACACATACGAACAGAAGTGATAACACATACAAAATGGCCGACGCACACAGTCACACTCATAGTCACACCGAGAACCTGCAATTTGAGGGACACCTATGCCCGTCGCATGAGGAGGTGGTGTACAGCGGAAATGCCAACAGATACACCTTTACAGGTAATATGTGTGTTTGAGTGCGTGTTTGTATGTGTTCAGTAAAAAAAACACAGGCTGCAGTTTAGAGGTATTACAGACTAGTACTTTTCCAAAGGAATAAGTGTAGTTCATTTTTAGCTCTTTTATTGTTTTTTTCTTGAACTTTATTCACCTCAGTGTTGAGTGTCTTTGGTAATAAAGCTACTTTTCTGATCATGAGGGGACAGCTACCTCATTTGATGCAATTGACCCTTTGCTAAGCCCCACCTCTGGACACAGACTGGCCAATCATAACGTAGCATTGGGCCAGCTCAGACCAGGGTCCGACAACAACACAGCTGTGCTCCATTGACTCTAATGCAATAGTTTCAGATTTCCTTCATTTTCAGGCTGGCTTTGTGGATCTGGAGCTAAATGTTGTGCCTGGGGCACTTCATGTATTAATGATACTCGTTACCTGGAGAGGTTGGAAAAAGATATACGTTTCTTCCCTGTTCCAAAACCAAAATCAAACCCTGTAAAGTGTAGGGTTAGCTAGCTAGCTACTGAAGATATAGCCTACTGAATGTACACACATGCTGCTTTTGCTTTTTCATGATTATAACACTGAATAAAGGCCGACCCTGCTGTACAGGAACCAGTGAAGGGAAGCAGGGAAACTTTGCTGATATTCAACCAGCTGTATGTCATCACATTGTGCCCAGATGAACGTTGTTTGACTTCCCCTGGAGATCCCTGCCCGTTCCGGGTGCTGGCAGCTGCACCGGGTGAAGCCAAACACTGTTCATCTGCACACACTGCGATGCCACACAGCTGGTTCAGTATTGGTGAAGTTTCCCTTTATATTCATTGTCTTCTGTGGCGATCAGCAGTGATGTGTTGGTTCACTTTTACACTGTGATCTGTAGCCTATAGTTCGGCTTTAGCTTCTAACTATCTTTGTCTTTTTAACCTGATGTTGCTGCTGAGTCAGTTTGACATCGTGGATATATCCTTCAAACACAGATTGTAGACCCCTCTGTCTGCTTTTCTCTGGAATCACTCTTTCATTTTTCCACAAATACAATAATATTTCTTCAGAGAGTGCAGTTAGTTACAGTGTGGTCTCCTCTGACAGCTTGTCAGACTAATCTAAAGGGGGTGGGGCTTAGCAAAAGGTCATTTGTTTTGCCAGCAAACAAATTTGCCTCTACTATCATCTCTCTTTAAAAACAAAATGTTTGTATCACTCATTGCCTCATGTACCTCTTCAAGTCCAACCAGTTGCTTATTGATCAAACATGTTTTTCCAGCCTCCTTTCCCAGCCTCTGCTCTTCACTTTGCTTCTAACTTGAAAGCATGTTAGCATTTGCAGAATTATTATTTTTTTTGTCAGTTAGTGATTTGAGCAGATTGACAATTTTCTTTCTTTGTAATGAGGAATTGTAGTTCAGTTAAGTCCACTTACCACTTAAGTCCACTTAAGTGTTACATTAGCAGTTTTGTCAGACCTTAAAAAGCTTCCAATGCTGTTGTAGTAAAAATATGTCAACAAAAATAAATGCCTATAGTCAGCAGGATCACAGTTCAGCTTTACTTTTTAATCACATAATAATCTTTTCTGGTTTAGGCATGCATCTGTATGCCTAATGCACTTAAGTTTTAAATATCGGCACCATTCATAATAAATTTGCATCCCTGCTTCTGACCTGTGACTTTGTTGGAAATTGGGACTCTCACTTCAGTCCTCTGAGCCACTATGAGGAATAACTAATATAGGAAATAGCCATCTGTGAGACACACCGCTCACGGAAATTTCAAGCCTGCAGAATCCAATTCTGCATTTACTCTAAATGTGTCAGCGGCTGCAATCAACGGGCTTTAGAGACAGATGCCCTTCCACACACACTCTCTCACACACACACACACACACACACACACACATAGAGATACACACACCAAGACAGCTGTTGCAGTGTACATTCATAGCTGTTATCAGGGTAACTCTCTCTGTGCTGTACACTTGTGTGTCATTAAAACTTAGAGATGGGCGTTTAAATGCCATTTCAACATTCTCTACTATTTATCAGCCCAAAGGGAGTTGGGGTGTATGTGTGTGTGTTGGTGTTTGTGGGCGTGTGTGTCAGGATTTTCAGTCTGTCCACACATTATTTATCTGGGTAGTTATGTCTGTTTAATCAGGACTAATTGTGGTTGTGAATGTTATGTGTGTGTGTGTGGCTGACTGTACAATAATTACATGTTTTTTCTGTGCGTGTGTTTGTGTCCAGTAAGTTACCATTTAAGTGTGCTTCTGTAGTGAATGTGTTTTTATGTGTGTGCGTGTTAGTAGGTGTGTGTGTGTAGCATGGGGCGGTTAGGATAAGACTTTCTAGGCAATGCTGTGACACCATCTGGGCAGAGGCACATAAAGCTGTCGCCACCCACCATACACCAGATGTTTCTCATGCACACACACACACACTCACACACACAGGGTATCATGCTATACTGCTCTGGGAAAAAACCTAAGGTAGATCACACACAGATAGCTCCACATGCGCGATCAGTGCTATAAATATGTACTGTATTGTCCAAACCCAATTTATATTTATACTTCTTGATATTAGTTTTTAATCAAACACAGAGAGTCCGTTTCTAGGCATCTATACACACACACATTCAGTGTTTTATTTACATGTGTGTGCCACTGTGTGTGTTTTGCTGCTTCAGTTATCGCAGCAGTAAAGACAAGAGTCCCAGACTGGTGGTTAAAACGTGGTCTCATTTACAGCAACAGTCCCTTAACACTCCTAAAAATAATGCACATGTATGCGTGAGCGTGTGGAAGTGCATCTGTATGTATATATGATCCTGTATGTGTACCTTACCAGAAGGGTTGTCACAGCCTGTCTCCCAGAATGCTTCAGTAATGGCCTGACATTTGCAACTATGCACCAGTGATAGTGCATATATTTGGTATATGTTCATATAAAGTGTGCTTGCATTGCCAGTACAACTCCCAGTACTCACATTATCAAAGATGTAAATATTGTTAGTACATGTTAATGTAGAGAGATATTTCTGTTATATTTTTCATACTTTTAAGTAAATGTAGATGATTTATGAATCAGTGTATTGCCAATCTTACTGACAGATCTGTTGATTATTTTCTCGCACCTCTTCTGAATTTATTTTTCTTCTTTTTGCTCCCCTTCTCCATTCCTTCTGTCTTCCTTACTCTCTAACAACAAACAGACTCTGTCCTGGAGCCCTTCACCACCTATGAGTACAGAGTGAGGGGCTGGAACAGCTTTGGGCGAGGCTCCAGTGATGTTACAACAGTGACCACCAGTGAGGACAAACCATGGGGAGTGGCACCGCCTCGCTGGAGTCGCTTAGGTGAACGAGATGACATCATCCAGTTGCAATGGCAAGCACCCGCCAGGCCTAATGGTGTGTATGTGTGCATGCGTGTATCAATAAAAATGCTTTTCTGTAGATGGGTTTCAGTTGGATTAACTTCAGTAGAGGGGCGTTTTTTGTTAATCTGGATTTGACCTTAAAAATCAAAAAGCCAAATGTTTTAAGTATTAAGAAAAATTGGACATTGGTCGTGAAAAAATACTTCTTCTATTTTGCCAGGGGACATCACCCACTATGTTATACTGCGGGATGGACAGGAGCGTTACCGTGGTGATGAAAACAGTTTCACTGATGTGGGTGGGATCAGGCCTTTCCAGGAATACAGTTACCAGCTAAGGGTCTGTAACCGGGCTGGCTGTACTGACAGTACACAGGTAAGACTGTATGTGTGTTTGTGTCAGTGCTGTTACTCACATTTTCTGTTGTGCCACAGTATTAGCTTATTAGCGGCTTCTCACCTTATGCTGGCCTGTCTATTCATAAAGCTTGAAATATCATCATCATTTGAAACATAATTTGAAAAGGTAAAAATCTCACTTTAGGACAATAAATAACTAATTTCAGACAACAAGAATTTTTACCAAGGTTCATTGTGAACTCCAACTTATTGATCTCACTGTTAAAAGGGAGAGAAATAACCTTATAATCCTGAATTCTTTCTAAAGTTGCAACGTGTTTGTCTGAAGGTTTAAACATTTGTCCTCTCACAGTCATTGAGAAAACTCCACTGAATCTAGACTGTTTATTTACAGCGCAGCTACACTCTCAGATAACTGAGCCTCCTACCTGCCTGTCAAACACCAATAAAACAATAAACCATCTTGAGACAGTCCGGATTTGAGTTGAGCCCTTCAGGGATCAACAGATGTGAAGTTCGGTGGCTGGCGACTGCTCACTGGACTGTGGTTCAGCAGCTAACAAGTGGAGCTAGCTGCTAACAACCATCGCTGCAATCAACAAACTCCACAAATTCATTCAGAAGCTCTACCATCTACAGTCAGACACATACGGCTGCTTATTTACTGCTGAAATACAGCTCACAACTCGAAATAACTGCTGATGCTGCTCCGGCATCTGTATTTTTTTAGGCTAGCAAAACACCCTTGCGCCGACTATTACAAAACATGCTGGAGCTTACCAGCCTGTCGGAACTCTGATCTCATACTGCTTGTAGGGTATGAGAAGATTGTGGCAAGTTTAATACATTTCATAAAAGAAATCATCATTCTGTTCCCCTCTCATCTACTTTTCAATGTCCGAAGAGTCTTGACAGAGGCTCTGTAGCTCATTGGTTAGAGCACTGGTCTTGTAAACCAGGGGTCGTGAGTTCAATCCTCACCAGGGCCTTCACATTAAGATTTAGGGCAGCAGTAGCTCAGTCTGTAGGGACTTGATTTTGGAACTGGAAGTTTATAGGTACAATCTTCTATCTGGGTTCCTGTCTGGATCAAATATGGGGCACGGACTGGTGGCTGGAGAGGTGCGAGATATACTTTTTTGATAAAGTATATCTACTTTCTTTCTTCTTCTGCTAAAAAACTAAGGTTTTAGTCTTTCTCATTTAGTCAATGAAAACAAAACATACATTTCATCATAGGTTTTTTAACCAATGATCTATTTTGAGCTCAACGTCTTGTCATTTTCATGGACAAAAGGTCATGAACGAACATTTTCCATGAAAGTTTTCATTACTGAAGTTATTATTTTGTATAAAAAGACTAAAATTACCCTAAATATTACTGATTGCACCCGCAATTGGAAAGGGAGTGTCTGCTCTATTGATTTCTTCTCTGTGCTTTTTTATTCTCTGTCCTGCAAGGCCTCCATGTAGAGCTCTCGCTCTTTCACACATCAACACACACACACTCACACTTTCCAAAACCTTACTCTGTTGTAGCACCCCATTTCATAAAGACATTATTCCCCTGTATGATTATCTAATGGCTCCTCTAAAGATGGACTGAGCTTCACTGAACTAAGCACCACTTTACTCAGTAGTTGAGTTCATTTCTTTAATTTAGGCCGAACAATTAAAGGAAAAGAGAGGTGTGTAAAAAAAAAAAAAAAAGGTGTGTTTTTTTTGGGGGGGGGGGCAAGAGAGAACTCTTACCATTGCTTTGAGAGAAAATACATAAGTTGTTTTGTTTTCATTTGTAAAGCAATATTACTTTTGTCAGTGGGTTTTATTTTTTGTCAAGAAACAGAAATCAGCTTAACTGCCACTTTAACCAAATTGTAGCAAGTCAACATCGTGCAGGAGCTACTTTTATGACTTGAATTCATCCTTAATTCTCCTACACACCTGAAATACTTCCTGCCTTTCCAAATAAAAGTTTGCAAAGATCACTTTATCTTTTTTGTTCTGTCAAGGAGAAATTGCCTAGAGATGCAACTCCGTGCTTTACGTTGTGCAAACGTACAGCAGCAACCTTGCAGCATAGTTCTTCTGCAGTTGGTCGCTCATCTGGTCGATTGTTTGGCCAGTGGCCTTTCAGCTAAATGCCCTTTTACCCTCTCGTAAAAGGCTCGGGCGCTGTTTTCTAGATGTTTTTTTGCATTGTAATTCAGGTGCTCAGTTGTCCTGCAAGTGATATTTTACAAATTTTAAACCTGTGTGTGACCTTTGTTGTTAAGAAACCACAGTGTGTGATGTTCCCACACTGTGTGAACTCTGTACTGTTCCCATGTCAGAACAAGTTTTTATTTAGCTTTGTTTCCGCTCTCCCTCTGTATGCGAGGCTCTGGATTTGCTGAGCCTACCTGATGTTTGTGATAGCGTCCATAATAGCTTCACACAGAACTCCCCCCCCCGCTATCTCTCTGGCTGTAGCAGAGCTGATATCACCACAACAATTAATTTCTCCGGCTTAGGGGTGATGAAAGCTCACGTTGAAAACTGTCTTTCTGGCTTTTTTAAAGCTAATTTAACATCTCATTATTTTTGATGAGCACATTCTTACGTAAAGACAGAGCCTGTAGATGTGTCAGTAGAGGGGTGGATGGATGAGAGGGTGAGATGGAAGTACAGTTGGTTTAACAGGTTTTGAGGGTTGATGGATAAATAGATGATGGATAAATTAATGTATACACTGAGTGAATGCTGGGGAGAATGATGATATGGATGAATTAGAAATGGATGGATGTAGTAGTGTGATAGTAGATAGTAGTGATAAAGAGAGGTGTGGTAAATTGTCAGAGAGATGAAGGGAAAGAATAATGTATTAAAGTTCATCTAGTCTTTCCCATATTTTGTATGTACATAGTGATTCTGTTATTATTTCAGGCATTAATTATTATTTTTTGTACATGTATTGTGTTGATAACTGGCATATGCTGATTTGTGAATATTTTTGCATTTCTCTCCACCTTGTTAAAACAATCCTAATGTCAGCCTTGCTCGGCTCCCATACATGCCAAGTCATTACATATTGATGGATGTGGGTATGATTAGGCTTGTAAGTAGCCAGTAGTCTTCTGTTGTCATGTTTATGGCCATAGCAAGCAGATAGGGATGCACCGAAATGAAAATTTGTGGCCGAAGCCGAATAAAATTAAACGCTTGGCCGAATACCAAGTACCGAATGCCGTTGTTTAGGTTTTCATTAGTTTTTGCAGATGAACCCCCTCCAGATTAGTGTTGTCACGGTACCAAAATTGGGACCCACGGTACGATACCAGTGAAAGTATCACGGTTCTGAGTAGTATCACGATACCACAGCGAAAATGAGGCAGATGTGCCTTTTGTCATTTATAAAAAGATAAATCACTTTTCTATAATACATTAATGATATTTCAATGGAATAAATTACTTATTGACTTATTCATACTTCAAAAACAGCATCAATAAGTGATTAACAATGGGGGGGGGGGTCAAAATAAAATAAATAAATAAAATAAAAATCAACCAAAAATCAACCAGCCACCCTCCTCCCTGACAAGTTAAGAACAGTCCCTAAAGTGTGGTGAGGTTTGTGGACTGTTACCTGCCACAAAGAGAGAAATGTGAACAGCTTGTTTCTCCTCTGACACGTCACATACCTGTGTGCCACCACGGCTCGGCTGTTCAGGTACTTTTGGGCAGTCATGACACCAAGAAGAGGAAATTATTGGACCTGGAGCCAGGCTTCTCCATCGCGGTAAGCCATTATCTTGTGCCACAGAGCACTATGGCCGCCATATTTGACAGGAATACATTCCTGTCTGTGTATGTGACCCCCGTTCAACCTACAACCGGCAGGATTCGCCTTTCGTTTTTGTTTCTGGTTGATATCTGTACTCGCACTGCTGCTCCTGAATGATTTCTTTTGCTCGCACAAAACTATTTTTAGTCGCAAATGTGAGTAAAATGCTTGCACCGTAGAGATCTGTGGAAAACAAATCACTGTGTTTTAGTACCGCGGTCTACCGTTGGTACCAGTATACCCTGCAACACTACTCTAGATAGTTCAGTATTACATTCTTTGCAAACCGCTTTTCTTCTATCACTCTCCAACACTTTGAAATATTGGCGCACTGCCAACATTTTAATCCAGTATCTTTGATTTTACTCCGTCTGTCACTGCACGCTGTTTGATTGCGTCATCAAAACACGCCGCTATTATTCAGCTTTGCTTTTCACTTATTCCACCGAATACCGAATGTGTGTTTTGTTGCAATATTCGGCCGAATATATTCGGTTACCGAATAATCGGTGCGTCCCTAGTAGCAGCTAACAAAATCGTGGGTTGTGACAGCCTTATCAGTGGTAACTGCCATTCCAGCCCGGTGCAGAGCGGTGATATTTAGCTAGGTAGTAGGATACACACATAGGGACTTACATGCACCTTCACGCGTGCACCGCCGGACCGTCTACCACGACAACAAACAAAAGCCTTAATTACAACATGCATAGCTTCATTCTCTGCTCAGGCAGATTCCATAACTCCATCATATCTTTACCCAGCAAATAGATGCAGCTGCTATATTCATGCTTTAAATGTTGTATACATCTCTTTTAAAATCTGGTTCATTTACTTTGTGAAATTCTCTACCATTTTCTACTGGACAGTTTACACTAGGATAGAAATAGTAATTTAAGTAATTTGCTCCTGTTTTCTGCTGTTAGTCTGATTTTATTTTGAGTATATAACTGGAAAAGCCTAGAAGATATAATGAGAAAATTGTGTTTCATTCCGTGATATATGTATTTAAAGCAGGGACACTGATACCGACTGGGACATTGCAAAGCTCTGGCATTCATGTGCTCTCTCCCTGCCAAAGTTTTGCTCTCAGTAGGCATTGGTATTATATAACAGAATAAAGCCAACATCATGATGTGAATGATGCACCAACTGGACCTCCAGTGTTTCCCACGAACAGACTTCACTTGCCCAGGTATATGTACTGTTGCTCAAGTATATTTGGCGACCCATTATAACCATTTTTTGTTGTTTTTTTCATTCATTTGAGAGATGCCAATCTGCGACCAGTTAACTAGTGGATAATCTCCCCTTAATCTACACCTCCTGAAACTTTTTATTTTGCTACGGCAGCCAAGGCAAAAGTGCCCCGAAGTGCTGATGTTGTGTCAAAGACAGTGTCATTGTCAAATGATGTTTCCCTCCTGTTAGAATGATGCTTTGCGTAGCACCCCCTGTGTGGTTGGTTTAGATTTAGAGGAAACATATCAACTAAGAAACAGACCTCAACACAACACTGGCTTCCGATCTGCAGCGGTAGTTTCCTCTGGTCTTGTTTCTCTGTGAGCTGCATGTGAATCTGGCACGAAAATAAATAAACAATATGAAGAATATATAAAATGTAAATGATCTGATTTTGATAAAAATTTGCTTCCCATGCTTGCCAACCATTTTGCTTTTCCTGCCCCTCTCCCTTGCTGTTTTCCTGGAGTTCAGTTTACCCAATTTTTACCCCCCAACATGATGAAATTTCAAAATCTGCCAATCCACTGTATTTATTAGAAATGGCTTAGTAACAATTATATATATATATATATATATATATATATATATATATATATATTTTT